GACCTCGACCGCCAGACCATGGCGTTCTGGCGCCAGGATCGCCGCGTTCACTGGACCGGCGTCACGGCCACCAGGGCTCCTGCCCTCCACGCCGTTGAACGCCTGAACCTCCTGCAACTGCTCCTGGCGGAGTTCGGCGACATCTTCGACACGCCATCAGCACTGCCTCCGGTTCGTGCCTGCGATCATTGGATCCACTTCCTTCCAGGCACAGCCCCCGTTGCGGTACGTCCCTAACGCTACCCCCAGCTGCTCAAAGATGAGCTGGAGAGGCAGTGCGCCGACATGCTCCAGAAGGGCCTCATTCGCCCGAGTACCTTGGCGTCCTGATCGCCCGTCCTCCTCGTGCGCAAGAAGGACGACTCCTGGAGGTTCTGCATCGACTACCGCACGCTCAATGCCAAGACAGTGTGCGACGTCTTCCCCATCCCCGTCATCGACGAGCTGCTGGATGAACTCCGAGGCGCCACCTACTTCACCAAGCTCGATTTTCGCAGCGGCTATCACCAAGTCCGCATGCACGCTGATGATATCCACAAGACGGCGTTTCGGACTCACCACGGGCATTTTGAGTTCGTGGTCATGGCCTTCGGCTTGACCAACGCCTCAGTGACGTTCCAGTCCCTCAGGAACGAGGTTCTTCGCCCCTTTCTTCGCCGCTTCATGCTCGTGTCCTTTGACAATATTCTGATCTACAGCAACTCCTTCGCCGAGCACCTGCAACACATCCGCGCCGTCCTCACCGCTCTGCGCGCCCACACCCTGTTCCTGAAGCGCTCCAAGTGCTCATTCGCAGATAGCCGGGTGGAGTACCTTGGCCACTTCATCTCTGAGGCAAGGGTGGCCATGGACCCGGCCAAGATTGACGCCGTGCAAAGCTGGCCCAGACCGCGGACCCTCCGCGCACTGCGTGGCTTCCTCGGCCTCACGGGCTACTACCACCGTTCCATCCACAACTACGGCGTCATTGCAGCTCCATTGACGACCCTCTTAAAGCGGGACGCTTTTTGCTGGACCGACGCCGCCACCACCGCCTTCGACAAGCTCAAGGCAGCACTGACCTCCGGGCCGGTGCTGCAACTCCCGGACTTCACGGCGCTCTTCGTCATCGACTGCGATGCCTCCGGCTCCGTTTTGGTGCTGTCCTCTACCAGAGTACCGGACCGATCGCATTCTTCAGCCGCGCCATGGTCCCCAGCACGCCAAGCTGGCTGCCTATGAGCATGAGCTCATCGGCTTGGTGAAAGCTGTGCGGCATTGGCGGCCGTATGTTTGGGCGCGCCCATTCACCGTCCGCACCGACCACTTCGCCCTCAAGTTCCTCCTGGACCAGCGCCTCTCCACCATCCCCCAACACACATGGGTAAGCAAGCTGTTTGGCTATGATTTCAAGGTGGAGTACAAGCCCGGGCGCCAGAACGCAGCTGCTGATGCCCTGTCACGCCGTGACGAGGACGCCGCTACACTGTCCACCTGCGCGCTCTCTCGGCCGGACCTCGATTTGTTCAACGAGTTCCGCGCCGAGGCCGACACCCTGTCGGACATCACCACCAAGCGCCAGGAGATCGCCCGGGCGAATTGGACGACCACCGACGGCTTCGTTCTAGCCGCATCTTCGTCCCCGACACATCAGCTCTGTGGCCTCAGATCCTGGCCACAGCGCACGGCGTTGGCCACGAGGGCGTCCAGAAGACGCTGCATCGCCTGCGCGCCTCCTACAGCCCCAACGCCAGCCGGCTTGTCCGCGACTTTGTGCGGGTCTGCCCTGTCTGCCAGCGGAACAAGACAGAGCACCTCCATCCGGCTGGCCTGCTGCAGCTGCTGGACGTTCCACACGCTGTCTGGGCCGACATCGCCCTGGATTTTGTTGAAGGGTTCCCCAAGGTCGGCGGCAAATCAGTGGTCCTCACGGTGGTGGACCGCTTCTCCAAGTATGCCCACTTCATCGCCCTCGGCCACCCCTACAGCGCCACGTCCGTCACTCAAGCATTCTTCGATCAGATTGTACGGCTCCATGGGCTGCCATGCTCTATCATGAGTGATAGGGACCCGGTCTTCACCAGCGCCTTCTGGACCGAGCTCTTTCGCTTGTCGGGGGTCACACTGCGCCTCAGCTCCGCCTTCCACCCCCAGACCGACGGACAGTCGGAGGTGACCAACCGTGTTCTCGGCGTCTACCTGCGCTACCTCGCCGGCGATCGTCCGCGGAGCTGGCTGCGGTGGCTGCCGTGGGCCGAGTTCTGCTACAATTCCTCCCACCAGACGGCACTACAGACGACGCCGTTTGAGGTGGTTTATGGCCGGCCTCCACCGACCATGGCTTCTTACCAGCCGGGCCTCTCCAGGGTGGCTGCCTTGGACAAGCAGCTGACCAACAGGGATGAGTTCCTGGCTGCAATCCGGGAATGGCTTCTTCAAGCTTAGAGCATCATGAAGCAAAGCCATGACGCCGCTCACCGGGATGTCTCCTTCAGTGTGGATGACTGGGTGTGGCTTCGTCTACACCAGCGGGCTGCGACGGCCATCAAGAGCAGCCAGAATGCCAAGCTTGCAACCCGCTACTACGGGCCCTTCAAGGTGATCGAGCGCATTGGCTCGGTTGCTTATCGCCTTCAACTTCCCGACAAGGCGCGCATCCACAATGTTTTCCATGTGGTGTTCCTGAAGAAGTACCACGGCACTGCACCAACGGACATTGTTCCACTGCCCACGGTCGTCCACGGCCACGCTGTTCCGGAGCCTGGTCATATTGTTCGTGCACGCCTGAACCATGGTGTGTGGGAGATTTTGGTGCACTGGCTCGGCCAGAGTTCCGCTGATTCCACCTGGGAGCTGCTCCACGACTTCAAGACCACCTACCCCAAGTTCCAGCTCAAGGACGAGCTGTTTCGAAAGGAGGGTGGAAGTGTTGTGGACGCTTTCATTGGAAAGCAGTACACTAGGAAGGAGTCAGCTGCCTCTAGTGGCTAGAATTAGTCTAAGCTAGCTGAGATTAGACATGCAGGAATAATAGGGCTAAGATTAGACATGCAGGACCAATGCCAGCCGCATGTGGGGGATTATAACCACTGTGCGGCTGGGCATTAGGGGCAAGCAGAAGTAGAATTGTTATGATCAGAGCCTCCCAGGGAGGGCGATCAGGTTCTACTGCTGCCATTGTTCTAGGATTAGCCACTGTAATCACCCCAGTTCATCAATAAAGAACCCCCCAGATCACTAGCCATATCACACCATGTAGTTATAATGGTTTTGTATTATTGGATCATACTAGATGGATTTGGACTTAAGAGCAATTGGATTGGATTGGACTTGACATTAATCATTTCGTTTAGGGTAGGTTTGGATTTGGATTCTTTTTCTTTGGATTTTAATTGGATTTATCCATATGGATTTGGATGCTAATCCATTGTCACCTCTAGTTGGAGCCCAGCAGGAAAAAAAAGGATTCTTCTACTTTCTCAGCTCGTGGACTGAGGAATTTTGCTCGTGTGTTTGAAGGGGATGGTATACTTGGAGGCATTGGTTCTATAAGGGCAGAGGAAATAGATTTTTTGCCGGTTCAAATTTTGAGATTCAGTGAAAGGTAAAATATATAATGGAGAGGAGAAAAATTATATTTTAGGGGAGTTTTCTATTTGATACTCAAGAATTATACCCCTTGGTAATTTATTTTGTGATATTGCAGGAGCAAACAGGAGGTCCATCACCCTGAATATCCTAGCTTGTGTGATGTAAATATCTCCAAAGAAAACTTATTTTTAACTTCAAGAATCTAAGACTATTTGACATAACAAGGACACTAACATGCTTTTTTTAATCTATTTCTTATTTTAAGTAATAGAACGTTGGAATTAGAAATGATTTTACTATTTATGCCGTTGGCTTTGACAGTGATCACGATTTAGGTGCTGAGAAGGGCACACTATTGCTAGAAGATACAGAACCATTTATCAATATCCAGATTGAGGTGTTGATAAGTGTGTCTGAATATTTTTAGCTATTGTTGTTTGTTGTTGAAGGGCGGGCCTGTTGCAAGTGGTAGAGTCTTACCGCCTGTGGCCGGAAGGTCCTGGGTTCGAGTTGCGGTCTCCTCGCATTGCACAGGCGAGGGTAAGGTTTGCCACTGACACCCTTCCCCAGACCCCGCACAGAGCGGGAGCTCTCTGCACTGGGTACGCCCTTTTTTTTATTGTTGTTTTTATTTCTATAGAAATGAAGTGTATGTTTACATGTCTCTGAAAATGGACTGAATAATGGTAATGAATGAGTTTGCTGTCAATGGTAATGCATTTTTTAAATGATCTTTTGACAAACTGAATGGACTGAGTGCATTAGCTAAGAATAAGATTACTGATGCATCTGGATACAATTGTGGTGATCTCTTAGTGGTGGATTGTGATTGCTGCCATGCTGCTTTCTAGTCCATTTTATTCAGTCACTCGTCTGATTTTGATATGTGCGCAGGTCTTAATGATGATGGTAGCTTGGAACAGTTGAACTTACCGACAGATGCAACATTACTTGTTTAATAGGATTGAATTAACAGACTTTCTTTGTGGTCTATCAGCAGAATAGAAATTCATGTTCTGTGTTCTCCACCAATAATGGTGTAGATTGTGTACATTTTTACTGCTGCAAGACAGTTTGGAGTGAGCCTGGACTCTGGAGTGGACTTAGAGTATGTAGCTCAAGTCAATAATAGCTGGATACCTCCCGAGTCTTCAATTGGTTCCAGCAATGTGCCCGCTTCTCAAGATTTTTGAGAAACCTGGATTGGAATGGACTAACCTGAGTTATGTGGTTCAGATAACAAAATTTTAACTAGATATGATTATGAATATCGCGATCTGTTTGCTTTCAATTTTAATTGCTGTTATATGATGCTTTCTGCTTGTCTGATTCATCTTATTCATTGTCTGCAATTTGTATGTGTGCATTGTTTATCTGTTACTGTGCATGTGAGCCTTTTGTATCCTGGATGTACGACTTGGTACTGTTGTTTAAGCTGCTGCCAAATCTGAGAAGACCCGGTTGGCGTGGTCCTCTCTGGCAGGGCAAAAGTAATGCTGCTGCAGTGCAGCTGGATTTTCTGGCAATAGAAAAAGAAACAGCAGCAATAATATGGATCGCAACAGATTCTTAGAAATTTGAAATGTGTAGTTCGATGCTAATTTGTCTTTGTTTGGGTGGCCAACGACAGCGCAAGGGCATCAATCCTAATCTATCTTTGTTTATGGCGCAGCACAGCAAGCGTGACACCATGACACTTGCATTGACTGACAGACACTATTACACTAATGCGTCAGTGGCTGCGACCTGGGGCCAGTCTATATATCTTTTCTTTTTATTCTTCAGTCTATAAATCTGAGGACACTAGCAGAGCTTTACATGTAAGGGCTTCCCCAATGCTCCAAGTTGGTGTGCTGCCTCAATCGCCATATCAGCACCGGATGTCTAGACCATCAGCGATCGGTGGTCTCGTAGGTTGTCAGAAGGACATCTGACAAAAGTTGAAGCTGCAGTGGAAGTTCACATTGGCCCCGTTCACTTGTCTTAAATATGGTTTGATCGTTTTACGACCAAGCGAACAGGCTTTTAGCGACAACAATTGGTGGTCTCGTAGGTTGTCAGAAGGACATCTGACAAAAGTTGAAGCTGCAGTGGAAGTTCACATTGTGGAGAAGAGAGTCACCAATATTTGCTTGGGACCACATCAAAGTTGAGAATAAAGAAAGGTATGATGGGAAAAGACCCTGGAAAATATACTACACTCACCTGCATGCCCGCGTTGCAAGACAGTGTCTCACACTCACCCTCGTCTACGTGTACTATGATTTTTGGTTGAGGCTAACAACGTTGTTAGCCTGCTTTGCTGGTGCCCTTAGGGGCAGTGGTAAAATAGATAAATTATCAATATCTTAGCATGGTCAAGTACAGAACTCTATAAGAGGAATGTAAATTTGGGGGAGGCCTTTTTTTTTTTTGGCCTTAATGAAGCTCCGCCGGTGTCGTACCTGTAGATTCTCTTGATTTTGGTGCGATTCTTGACAATCTCTCCGATGTTCGTTGACCGCCTTGGCCACGGACCACGGACCACGGTGGAGTTTGGCGATGCGACTAGTTATGAAAGTGCAGAGGATCTCAAAGAAACTAATTGAACAGGTATCGTCTATTCCCTTTTGAAAGGAATGGCAGGAGATCTGCAAACTTAGCAACAAAGGAAAGAAGAAAAAAAATGTCCTGATGTGAAACACAGCACCTAGCACAAGCACAACACAGATACAAAGACATAGTTACATAATTGGGACAATCTCTCTTATGTCTTGAGCTCCTGCAACATTAGGATTATATTCCCAGTTTCTAAGAGATCCATCAGGGTTAAAAACAAGCCTAGTTTGAACCATAGCAGCATGATCTGCCTTCTTCCTACATGATTTCGTATATCTAAGCAAATGTCCAGTGCCAACATTAGAATTAGCAAGCAACTTAGACTTTAATTTGCAAATTCCAGCAACACGGATAGGTTTACCATTCACAGTTTCAAAGACTTTAGTGAAGTCCTCCCAGGCAGCAGATTGAGATCGCTTACCAGTGGTAGAAGTGAGCGAGTCATGATCATTAGAGCCTGCAACATCACTAGCCGGCGCTACCTCCAAGTTGATCAGAGCAACACTGCTACCGAACAAGGCAGCAGCAGCGCCGCCCACGTCTTCGACGTCGTCGGGGGTCAGCCCGAACGCAATGAGGTCTTCATTGATGGTTTTAGGGTAATCGACATCATCATCATCCATGGTCACCCGAACCTCGTCATCTTCTCCCTCTCGGTCTTGTTCCTTAATGGCACATGCGACACCAGCATGACGCATTGCACGACGACCTACTACCAAAATCAGTCGAGAACCAAGATTGGGTTAGGGATTTATGGTTTGGGGGAATCTGAAGAAGAGATCTAGGGTTTAGGGTTTTGAATTACCTGCATAGCCGGGGCCAAAAAGGTGGAGATGAAGATGCACTGCGGCAGGAGCACCACCTTGACTGACGGTGAGTGACGAGATCAATGAGAGATCTAGGGTTTGGGGGGAAGATGAGAGTAAGAGTACAAGAGGACAAGTGTGAGGAGTATGAGAGGAAATTTGCAAGATCTGGTGGTGGAGAGGTCGCTGGAGACAAGGAAGACAACGAGAGAGATGACAACAATGGGATGTGGCGGCCAAAGAGGCCGGGACGAAGACGAGGGTATGAGAGGAGAGGAGGACGAGAGGAGATCTGCAAGATCTGGTGGTGGAGACGTCGCGGGAGATGGGCAGGACGACGAGAGAAGCAATGGCAGTGGCAGGCGGCAGCGAGAGAGGCGAATCAGGAGACACACAAGGCGAGAGAGCTAGAGAGGAAGACGAGCGGCTGCGGTGGGTGGGAAATGAGCGATTAGGGTTTTTTGACCAGGCCATGCTACCCGCCAGTCTGGGGCAGTGGCCCAAGCATGGACTGGTGTCTCGGGCCGGGCCAACACGGGCATGGAGGAGGCCGGACCAGGGCGAGCTTGGACTGGTCCAAAATTATAGGCTTCGTGCTAGGGCACCAGGATGCGGGTTGCATGCTCATATATAGCCGTGACTCATTATTCCAGCACATGCACATGAGGGCATGAGGCTTCACTTGTACTCTCTTTGTCTAAAAGAAATATCATTCTGAGTTTAGTCTAAATCAAACTTTCTTAAAATTTAACTATAAGGGGCTGTTTGGAATCTACTTAATGGATTAGGCTATTTGGCTTGAAATTTGAGATTTCATAACTTTACAAAAGTTTACATATATGCCTATCTCAAATTCATAGGCACTATACCACAACCTTAAAACAACGACTGATTTGGAGTTGCTGAAAGGGGTATATAGCGATAGACAGTCAGTTGCTAAAGGTTATAGCGACGGACCCCTGCAGTTGCTAATGAAGCCGTCGTTATATGTAAACAACGACGGATATGATCTTTAGCACGCTCTTTTTGGGTTGTGGTGTAGTGAGGGTGAAAGATAGAAATTGATTCTATAGAACCCCGTGCTATGTTTCTACTCTTGAACTTATAGCACGCTCTTCAATTCGCTTTCTATAATAAAAATGCAACATATAAGCATCTCCCTTGCATGGCTAACAAATAGTATACAAATATATTCCATATACAATCATATTAACTTAATTATAATTTATTAGAATGAATTGGGTTTCAAGAATCCAAACTGGAAATAGTACCAATTTCCAAATATATGTATTATAAAAGTATATTTCATTGCCCATCTAATGATAGAATCATCAATATTAGTATTTTTATATATTTATTTGAAGTTGGGATTGTTTGAATGCTCAAAAGTAAGAGTGACATTTTTTACGGAGGGTACATACGCGCGCGCGCACGCAATGGACAACGTAGTGATGGCAATCAACTCAGGGTAAGGCTGGAGTCGGCCACGATTGGGCTCCTCACGACGTGATCATGGTCATGGGACAACCAGCTCAGGGCCCCCTCGGCGAGCTCCTGCTCGCTGCTGGCTGCGCTCACCGTGACCGTGAACGTCTTCCTCTCATTTACCTTGGTGAACTCCAGCTCCGCCGGCTCCACCTTGACCGTCAGGCCTTTCGGCGCTTCGATCTTGGCGCTGTAGTTTGATTGCGCCGGCCCGACGTTCGTCACCGTCCGGTTCACGGCGAACGCCTCAGCTCGCAGCGGCACCAGTATCGCCGGGTAGTTCAGCTGCGCCCCGGTGATAGGCTCGACCTCAGTGCAAGTCAAGCTGGTGTTTCCGGCTATGGTTTTCAGGGCCGCCTCGCCGAGAAGGCTGCAGATGTAGCCAGCGTAGTCGCGGACGCCGAGGTCGTACACCAGGCCGGGGTCTACGGCCTTCGCCGGGACAACGTGGCCGGCGCCGAGGGAGTAGAAGCTCGCCTTCCGGTGCTCCTCGTCCATGATCTGGTTGCCGTCGTTGTCGATGGCGCTGGACGTGGTCATGATGGCGGACTTAATCGCGGCGGGCGACCAGTCCGGGTGCGCCTTCTTGACGAGTGCCACGATGCCGGTGATGTGCGGCGTCGCCATGGACGTGCCGGAGACGACGTTGAAGCTGTTCGACTCGGGGCCCCCGACGGGCACCTCCGACGGCCACGCGGCGAGGATGTTGAGCCCCGGCGCCATCACGTCGGGCTTCAGCACGCCGGGGCTGGCAACGCTGGGGCCGCGCGACGAGAAGGCCGCCACGATCGGCGCCGGCTTCACGCCAACGACTGTGCTGTTGAACACGATGGTTACCGTATGGTTGGTCGTGGACGCACCCTTCATGGCGTAGCCCATTATCTTGGTGCCGTCGACCGCGGTCACCTGCGACATGGGGACGTTGTAGTATTTCTCCAAGACGATGGTGTATCCGAAGTCCGGTTCGTTGATGAACACGACGCCGGCGCCGCCAGCCTCGCGGACCGCCTCGATCGAGCTCATCGGTGGCACCGGTGTCTCGGTGTCGCACACAACCACCATGCCGGTGATGTTGACGTTGAAGTAGTCGCAGAAGTTCATGCCGTTTGAGTAGTACAGCGGATACACCTTGGAGCTGAAGTGCTTGTCCTGAGTCAGTGACTCGCCTTCGAACATCTCGCCGTCGCCGAGCCGCACGCTGGCACGGAAGCTCCGGTCCACAGACCCGGCCGCCACGGTCAATATCCACGGCGCTTCGTTGGACAGCGTGGAGGGCAAAGGGCCACTGTTGCCGCCGGCGCACACGACGAGGACGCCCTTGGACACCGCTGCCAACGCGCCGATGGCGATGGGGTCCTTGTCCAACGGCGTGGAGACGCCGCCGAGGGACACCGAGAGGACGTCGACGCCGTCCTTCACGGCGGCGTCCATCCCGGCCAGCAAGTCGGACTCGAAGCACCCTTGGGCGTCGCAGACCTTGTACACGGCCATGTGCGCGCCGGGTGCCGTCCCGGCAGCCGTGCCGCCGGCGCCAAGGCCGAAGGCCGAGACTCCTTCCACGAACCGGCCGGCCGCCGTGCCGGAGGTGTGCGTGCCGTGCCCGACGTCGTCAGTGGTGGTGTTGTCCACGACGAACGACGCCGCGCCGATGAGCTTGTTGTTGCACCGAACAGGAGGCTGGCAGGCGCCCTTCCACCTGGGGGGCGGCGGCGGCATGCCGTCGTCGCGGAACGAAGGGTGCTTCTCGTCGATCCCGGTGTCCAGAAACCCAATGATCGTGCCCTCGCCGTAGCCGGTCGCGTTCCAGACGCCGCCGTCGGGAGTCAGCCCGAGGAACCCCGTTGTGCGCGTCGTCATGAGCGGCACCCTGCGTTCCGGGAACGCCCGCACGAACCCTGGCTTCCGGGACAAGGCCGCGAGCTCGTCGTCGGTCAACCTAGCGGCGAAGCCGGAGAGCACGCTCGTGTACGAGTGGCGAACGCGGCGCGGGTGGACACCGCCGCCGGAGCTCTGCAGGAACGACTCGTGCCACCGGCGGTGCGCGGCCTCGTCGTCTTCATGGGTGTGCGCAGGCGGAGGCTCGACCAGGACGATGTAAGTTCGGGCGTTGGCGTGACGCCCGGCGGCGCCGGTGCTCTGCGGCGCCGCGCCGTGAGGGACATAGCCCAGCACGGGGCACGCCGCGGCGACCAAGACAAGGGCGTATGCAAGGGGCAAAATCGTGAAGCGACCCATGGCTTGCGAGCACGAATTTGACACAGATAGCGTTTGGCGTCGCTGAAGCTCATATACTCCGTGGACTGGACCGAATGGTTTTCTCCTGCTTGTTCATCTTATCTTCGTGCACGCATGCGTGATCCCAAGATACAGGGCAGCCCACCCAAGAAACCATGAACATGTCAAATGCATGGTGAGTGCAATGCTTTCTGGACTCCTAATGCAACCGCATCCGTTCCGCTGCCTTTGGTTTAGTGCGAGATGCGCTACGTCCGAACCCTTGGGTTTGTGACTTAATTTTCAAAGCTAGCGCGGCGACCAAAAGAGTGAGAACATCTTAGGTCGTCGCCAACGCCAATTGCACATGAATTCTCTATGATCATTAGGCTGTCAAAACTCGTAAGGCCAGTCTTAGTAGAACTTCCATATAAGTTTCATCTGTATTTAGTAGGTTGCTACTTAAGCATTTCTAATGATATGGCAATATTTTTACAAAGAGAGAAGAAGTGAGTTTCACGTAGATGAAACCCTCTTGTCTCGGTTTTCAATTCTAGATGAGCCATGTAATTAAATGTCTATGAAACAATAGAATAAAATCATATAGATGAACTCTTCAAAGCTATTAATCAAACTTTTCTAGTTTTGATCAAATATATAAACAAACGCACCAGCGTCTACAACAATCAATTAGTGTTTGTTAAATTCTTTATGAAATATCCTTATTGTATTTATTGAACTTGTTGACTGTAATGTATTTTTGTCTAAATCTTTTTAGAATTACAGTAATAAGGGAAATCCAGTCTAGTGTTTAATAAAGGACATTAATTAAGTAGAAAGAATACTAGCAAGGCAAGTCTTAATCAAAGTAATTCTACCCCACATAGGATAAAAGTTTGCCTCGGCACCCAACAATTCTCTTGATGATTTTATCTATTATTAGAGACTGAATGTCCTCTCACCTAAGTTTATCATAGTGAAGAGATTAAGATAACACCTAAGTATTTAATTTGGAGTGAAATGTATCATAGATTTCTACTTTCTAAGTGGTTCATTCGAAGTATAAATTCAGATCCATGATTGGACTTAGAGTGTACTTAAAATGAACCACATCAAAAATTGAAAGACCCAAATAATCACTTTTGGGAGTTCATGAGCCCATGTGAGAATGAAAGAGAAGTTTAAGGAGCCACGACACATTTCCCTCTTTAATTGGAAAGGATCCAATAGGGCAATCAGACAATGTTCATATTTGTTCAAAGTTATAGAAGTTTTGATTTAGGACAAAGCTAAAGTAACCTATACAATTCAGAACTGAGGTAACAACAATAACCAATAAGAACATCGACCGATGGAAGTATGAAATCGAGATCAGAAGTCTAGCACAATATCTAAAACGGATTAGTACACAACAATATAGTGCATGCTGGCTGCAGATAAACAGTCCAAACTTAAAGCAGCAACCACATAAGTTCAAAACAATATCAACTAGCCCAACAAAGCTATATAGCATGACAGAAGTCCAGAAGAGTTCAAATTCACTAGTAATACGACTTGGGCATATCTAGTATCGCTTATACAGAACAGAAAGCATTGGGTCCACATTGTAACCATGCCCTTTCTTGTCGGAGCAGCACTCAGGGCATTCATAGTGCTCTATTCGCTCTGCTTGAGCCGCTGTTATCTTCACACATTTACCATGAAACCAACGGTCACACACATCACAACAAATCCAGAACCCGTTCGCATGGTAGCCTCTGCCACAGCTTGCACAGATGGTTGGCTCAGTACCACAGCCTTCATCCTCATCCTCATTCTGTTCAACAACCAACCAATAACTCTTTGCATAAGAAAATTGGACATTACCATATTCCTTTGAAACAAAAAAGCAACATACCATCATACCATTTTTTCTAGACTGCATATGCGGCGATACGTGTCACTAGCAATGAGTGTTTCAAGAACAGTTTGCAGGCTGTTCATCCGATAAGATAAACGCTGCCTGCTAAACAAAAATGATCACATCATTGGTTCTGAAAAAGGGTTTCAGGTAGAGCTTTCATAAAAAAATGACATCAATGCAGGGAAAAATACTAATAACTGAAATCTAACAGAACAGTTTCAAGAACATAGTCCAACGGTTTTTGTAATTGAAAGTGAGACAATAATCCATGTGGATGATACAGCATAAAAGAATCACTAATTACTGAGCTTTCTAAAAACAAGGTGTTTTGAACATAATCATACCAAATAAGCCAATGTTTCCATTTTGCTATAAAGGTTTTTTTACTAGGTAATGTATGATGATTTGGGAAGAATAGAAGAATTTTGACACGAGGTATGAAAAGTCCATGCAATATTAAGCAACCATTACTATTGATATTAAATTCGTTCCCAGATAGAGAGTACTTGCCAACTTTGGATATTTAATTGTGAAACTCGCTGCAAGACAGCAAGAGTATGTTAAAGGTCTTATGTCCTCACAAAAAAGCCTAATCTAAATGAAAGCATTGGTGCAAACTGTTTCACCCAAGCAAATCTATTCCCACGTACGAATAAGGCATCTCATTAGTTTTTCTTTTATATTAAGGATAGCTAAACGGCAACATGAAAAAGGTAGAAATTTAATTTGCATATGCTTACTGCCATACTGTGTAATAATGGAACACGACTAGTAAGATCATCCTGAGAAGAAAATCCAGTTTGTGCTATTGCTAAACTATTATTGGGTTTTTTTTTTTCCAATTAGACAATTTGCAAAGGCGTAGCAATAACACTGAGCATGTAAGTACTACTTGGTCGACAAAATGGTTGTAGTGTTTTACAAGAACCGTAGGCATCAAGGATTATACTCCTTTTCGCATGTGCATTTAAACTCAAGTGCATATTATGAGAAAGCAGAAGGCAGGTGCATTCTGTGCTAAACCTCAATGTCTTCACTTCTCTGATAGTGATCCCACGTATTGAATTTAAACTAAAATGTCTTGACAGTATCTAAGCACAGTTAATCCTTCAAAGTATAAGATAATCTTTCAGACTCAAGAAAACAAATGCACACAGAGAGCATGGTAATAATGCTCAAAGTATAATATGATCTTTCATACTCAAGAAACAAATACATAGCGTGGCAATAATGCTTGACGATATGTTGTTAGTGCTTGTGAGGTACTAGCTAAAGAGATGATATATCTTGGTGAGTTTTCAGAAACTTTTAGTCGACACTAAAATTCTTCTCACCTGCTCATTGTTCTCATACATGATCTATAAAACAAAATTATTAGAACTGGGGTACACATATAATGAAAAGAAATAGGATAATACCTTGATCTAGTCTCCAAATTGGCACCAAGGAATGAGGAGATACGAATGAGCCATGCGTCACAGTGCATGGCGATGTGTCTGAGCCATTTTGTGCGTTTCATGTTGCCCCTCACTAGTTTGATGCCGAGCGTTGTTGGCTCAGGCTACCCCAGCGGCATGAACAACTTCTGCGGCCGCACCTCCCAACTCCCATCACTATTGCCATACAGATACAGGGTCTCTGTACCTAGGAGCCAAACAAAACCCATTCACTTGGCCACACGATCTCAAGCATTTGAGAATTAAGAAAAGTTCGAGCGAGGTTTCTGATTGGTCCCACAAACAGTCACCCACCTTGGTTGCACTTACGAGACAACGCCTTCTCATCTGCACAGTACACAAGGTTATAGTTTGAATGTTTGATAGTGACACAGCTAAGATTTGGGACATAGGTTGACCTTTGACATGAGATTGTCTACATATGACAGCACAAAGTATGCAGCAGCAGTAAAAATGGAATAGCACAATCACATAATGTTCTAGTAGTAGAGGTAGACAGGTAGCCAGCACAACGAAGTAATTGCAGAGAATTACAGGAATTTCGCATTTTCATTCTGAACTTGTAAGAAAGCGTCAAGTTTGAGAATCGCAGCCAAACAAACAATGACCAGTTGTGTTTTTTTTTAATAATCCAACTGTGTTCTTCATCTTGTTGAGAAGTTCCTTTTTTTTCCTTCATGTGGAAATAAACCTCAACGCACCAGGTTGCAGTCTTTTAGAAGCAGATTGCAAATGACCAAGATTGTAATGCCTTAAGCGTAAAAACAACTTTATAATGCTGATACTTGTTCGATCAGCACGCATGACGCATGAAAGAAACAAAAGGCCATGAGGTTCATCACTTTACCGTGAGTGAACAAACCAAAGCGAAGTTTAAATGACAGAAAAAGAAAAAGAAAAAAAAATCAGCACTCTTGTGGGGATCGACCGAACGAGGAACTCCTTCGGTTTATAGATCCACGAGGGGCAAGAAGAATAGGAAGAATGGCGATGGGTGCTTGTAGACCTGAGGTGAGGGCGCGGCGGCAGGCGAAGTCCCTGAAGATCCACTCCGCGGTGTACGACGGCGGGCAGAACGCCGCCGCCGCGGGCGCAGGGGGATGCGTCTCCATGGGCGCTCCCGTGGCCTGGCCGTGCAGGAGCGGCTCGGCTGGTAGCGGCGAGCATGGAGCGCTGGTGAGCAGGGCCGGCGGAGGAGAACCCGTGGCCTGGACGTGCTGAGGATGGTCTGGTAGCGCCGAGCGTGGAGAGCTCGCGAGCAGGGGCGGGGGAGAGTCCATGCTAGCCGCCAGCAGCCCAGCACAGCAGCGTCGAGCAGCAGCGGAAATGGCAGGGGAAGTTGTGTTGGGTTGGGGTGTGTAGAGTCTCGTTTGTGACGGCCTCACGGGAAAGATGCTGCAACGTTGGGTCAGGTCATCCCACACCTCTCCGGTTTCCCTGTGTGAACGCTTTCTTTTCTTCTTCTTCTTCTTCTTCTTCTGTATATATGAATTTGCTTTTACTCCCTCCGTCTCAAAACAGGTGCATACCTCGCTTTCAAGAAGTTAAACATTTTTAAATTTAACCAAGTATTATAGAAAATAATATCAATATTTATGTATTTTTAAATAAAATTATTATGAATATTCCATTATCAATCAACGATACTTATTACACATCATAAGTATGAGTTTTTATTTATATATTTGGTCAAACTTAGAAAGGTTTGACACCTCGGGAAGCATAGATATGCATTTATTTTGATAGAGGGAGTACTTCCCTTTTCCCCTACTGTATATGACTTTCATGGGCACCCGTTGTACAATCATCTAAGGTCTCATTTAGTACATCTAATCCATCACCTTTATGAGGTATTTTTGTGTCAAAAACAGTAAAATAAAATTGCTCCTAAATTTTGCTCTCATATGTATGTAGGATATGTGGCGACCTCTTGTATCTCTCCCCCCTCTCTCCCTCTCTCGACTATATATGTAATGGTCGAAACTAGCTCAAAGCCTTGAAGTCGAACACGGCAGCGGAACCCCTAGATCCGACTTAGGACGGCCTCCTACACCAGTTCAATCACCAGCGATGGGAAGGGCGCTAGGGGCGGATCTAGCCAAGGGCATGACGTATCGGAATACAATGAGGCAGATTCATCAAGGCTCATGACACTGGTGGGCTGTGGTAGCGCGAACATTTGGGCGGCGGCAGGCCCTATGGATGGGCTCGTTGGGCCTCATCGACGAGCTTCCTGGATTTTATTTGTTTTTTGGATTAACATAGGCAGCCATACAACATCGCCTTTGGAAATCTATAATTAACACAAATGTTGAACCTTGCATGCCTTTGTTAACTCATTTTGACCGACTCTAATAATGGTTACAGTGGCGGTGTCATGTCTCACGTACTAAACTTGTGCATACTGAAGTTATCATCAATGATCATGCTGTAGCAAATTTTACTGAAGAGGTACAAGAACATACACAATTAGAAAAACAGCCAATGATGCCAAATGAAAACAAAAATCCCACCATGAGATAATGGAGTTCATGCAAACTCAATCCGTCTAGTATCTCTTGGACAAACTTGATACCATAGGGTCTAGTAGTCATGACCAACCAACCCTCTCATAGTAGCAATCAGGACACTCATAGTGTTCCTTATGCTCTGCTTCACTAGATGTTATATTTACACACTTTCCATGATACCATTTTCCACACTCGTCGTAGCTAATCCAAAATGTGTTTGCCTTGTAGCGACTATCACAACTAGCACAAAAGTTGTTATCACCATTTGTAGCATCCTCTTCCGCCTCCTCCAGCACTTCATTGGCTTCAGTAGGACCACTAGATCTCTTTTTATAAGAAAACTTAAAATCAATATGTGTTTAATTTGCATGTAAACACCTTATATTGTGTATAGCTCCAAACACAAGCCATACCTGCCCTTCTATAAGGTATACCTCTTGTTCGTCCTCCACCACCTCATTGGCTTCATCTGGGCCACTAGATCTCTTTTTATAAGAAAAAGTTAAGTCAGCCCTTGTTAGATTTGAACCTAAACAACTTAATTTGCACAGCTCTAAAGAGCCAGAGTTTCTATGAATACAAGACATGTACCTTTTCTTCTACATGGTACAGTAATATTTCTTGGACTGTTGGCAGATCCATGATCATAGTGAACAACCGACCCCTACAATACAAAATTATTTTTATTAGTGAATTGGCAATGGCCAGAGTTTCACATACACAAACTTGAAATAAAAGCATGGCCAACCATTTAGTATTACAATGAAAGATCAAAGTTCTTGAAGAACATATGGCAGAATAGTTTCTTATATCAATGTAAATATGAAATTCCAAAAAGAACCACTTAGTTTTCTAACTAAATGTGTAGTGATGTTGAGGATAGTCTAATAAGCTAGAAAAAATTAAGCATAACAATAATCCAAATAAAAGAACCAAACAACACTACTACAGAATAGACAATCCCTATTAGCCTATCACTGTTGGACAATTTTAAACCAATAGTGATCGGGGTATCACTGTCATTTCATAAGCAATAGGTCAATCACCGCGGATTTTAAAATTAACCTGCGATAATAGGTAACTATTACCGTCGGTTGGTAATACAACTTACAGTGAAGCGTTGCCACTACCAGGTTATATTACCAACTGACAGTGATGATTTGATCCTAGACCTGAAATATCTTTTCAATCCCATTAACTTCCACTAACGTCCACATACCACACTCCACAATCTGCACTATCTGGTTCTCTCTCCCCTCTCTCCCTCATTCTCTCCCCCACCCCTTTCCTAGAATCTCCTCTCTCTCTCTCCTCCTTCCATCTGTTCTCCTTATCGCGGGTGGGCAGCCCCGGTGGCCTCCTCCTCCTCCACCACCTCCTCCTCCTCCTCACAGGCGGTAAACCCTACCACAGGGATACGAGCACGATGACATCCTCCCTGGAGGTCTCCTCTTCCTCGTGGGGAGGCGGCCCCGGCATGGGTGCGTGGGCCATCGACTCGGCGCAGTGACATCCTCACCAGTGGTCTCCTTCTCCCCTTCGTTCACATCCTCCTCACGAGTAGGTGGCCCCGGCATGGGAGCACTGGCGAGGTGGCCTCCTCCCCTCCTCTCTCTCTCTCTCTCTCTCTCTCTCTCTCTCTCTCTCTCTTCCTCCTCTTCTTGGGCGTGCGGCTGGGTCGCCGGTGCAAAGTAGTGGTAGTGGTGAGTAGATCAGGCGTGAGCGCGACCTTTGCATAGAGCAGCGGACAGATTTGGTTGATATTTTTGGAATATTTTAAAAGGTCGGCACTGCCAGTTCTAGCACTGCCAATGATAGCCCCTCACCATCATTGCCGATTACACACTACTGAATCCAAATCCATTGCAGTAATAGGCTTTAGAAACCAGTAGAGATTGGAGTTTTTCTACTAGTGGAAGTTTTTCTAATATAGTTCCTAACTATGATGAGCATAAGAATTTAAGCTGAATGATATTTTTCTTGCAAAACATAATTTATACTGTCGCAGCATACATGTACACATATACTAACCCATATGAGCGCACACGTGTACAACCAAGTGATCAATTAGAAAGAAACAATACAATATTTGGTTACAGTTTTATCCAGTATATAAATGTTGTAGACAAATATGCTAATAATTAGTGTCAGCAGGTTGACAAGAAGTGCTATAAAAACCAATTATCTCTTTCAAATACGAAGAAATCATATAGTCTAATATTAAGACATAATCCATATTCTATGGAACCATGTCCTTAGTATCATTTATATAGCAGGTGAACATGCAACATCATTCTATAAGCAAAGCCAACTATCTACACAATCAAGAGGGGCAAACTTGTTTTATAATTAACATATTATTATTAAGTGATCTAACTTTGCATTGTTAATAGGATCGAGTGGCGTGCAGATGTTGAAAAGATAACATCCTATGGGAATGAAGAATAGTGAAAATGCTAACACACAAAGTAAACATGGTGGTTTACACTTGGTGGTGTTATACATTTTATCCATAAGTTCCACTTCACTAAGGGTAAGATGGGTTTATAATTAGCCATGATACCCCAGCATGTGGAAAAATGTTTCGGCTTCGGAAAATAGAATGCCTATAAACTATGTGCCGGATGCAAGTTCTATGTGGTTTTAAACATTGGAAAAAGGGTGATGAATTGAAGTGAAAAGAGTTAGTCGCCATACAAGATCGTCATTTTGTTTATCATTTATTTTTGAACACCATACTTTCTCATTAAAGAAGAATATAAAGAAATTACAAGAGGGGTCCCAAGGACATGCATCCGATCCGAATGTGACAGAGCGTCCCATCCAAGAACATAAAACAAATTACCATCATGCAACACACCCTCCTATCAGCGTCCGGTCGAAGAAAGAGCTCCAGTCCGGTCGGTCAAGATGTATAAAGAGATAAAATGATAGCATGTACTAAAGAGAGTTAAATCTAACATGAAAGGCGTAAAATCTAGTTGCCAATGAAGGGGTAACGGCTGTTTAGCCCTTGGGGCTATAAATAGAAGTGGTTCACTAAAAGCCATGTATGGTGTTGAGCACCTCAAGGGACTTAGGTGTCCATGCTTGTGAGTCCTGGGAGCCCTCCATCACACATATACTTGATAGTGATCATTCGATTGTGTGAGTGAGCGATTATAGAGATAGATTGCATCGTGAGGTTGCATCCAGTGGCACTAGGTGATTTTGTTGCAACGGTGGTGCTTTTACTCTTGGAGGTTGCCAGAGAGATGGCATAGTGGTTTCATAGAAAGTAAAGAAATTGCAAGAAAGAGGGCCTCCTGAGAAGTTGACAAGGGGTACTTGTGCTGCATGGCCTGGATCACAAACTTGCAACTTTAGATAAAGCGTGTCATTGAGCTACACTCACTCAAGGGGTAGGTTCTCCATCCCCTGCTACTGCGTGTGGGCTTAACAGGGTGATGCTAATTAGCCGCACTAACCACCAAATTATATATGTGAAAGGGACAGCGTGTTGGCAAACCACGTGAACCTTGGATAAAATCATCGTGTCAACTCCTTGTTCTTTAACATTGGTTTGCATACCCCATGACACAAGCTTAAAAATTATTAATCTATATATATCTTTTGAAATACCTGAAGTAACATCTTGTAATTAGATAAGCTTGTGTAGCTAGTTAATTACCTTCAGACCAAAACATCTATGACTAGTAGGAGTATTAGACAATGAGATAATTTGGTTTTAGATGTTTTTGTTAGTCACATAACTTAGAGATTTTTCATCTAAGCTAATTGATTTTCACTCTCTCTAATAAGGCATCAGTTGCCTTGTTATTGAGCATTGCTAGTGAGCTTAGTTAGCTTTGTACTTTTGTTTACTAGCATGTGTAGGAGCTACCTTGTTACTAAAAGTACTAGTGGCATAGGTTTGTGTGACCTTGCTCCTAGAATTGTTGATGGAGAGCTCGCTAGCATAGCAACTTGTTGCAGTTGCTTTATTAGTATCTTTGCAAGGTGCTAGTGAACATATTATGAGGGTGTAGTCCAGCTAGACCGATTATTTTAATTCCACATTTAGGTGGTTTCACCTCCCAGCTCCCGTAATTAATTTTATAAAAAGACTATTCACCCCCCCCCCTCTAGTCCGCCTTCTCGACCCTACACTTGATCACCTCATTTCATGGGCTAGAGAATTGATATTGATCATATCCCACGACCAGGATCACATTTTTGAAAGAACGCCTCCTCATCTGCATACCCATACACAAGCAGGCTCCCGTTAGATAGTGAGTATTAAAACATTTTTGAAACATTTTTTGAAATGACTATATTTACTTGACAAAGCAGGAAAACAACAACGCGCGAGTATTAAAACATTGGTACTTCGTCAGTGTGTAAGTGCGTAAAATAAAGGCCATGAGGTTATTCACATAATTCTTGAGATGAAGTCAAAATTTAGAACCTGGGCATGCAAATTTCTGGTAGGCATGCATGTAAAAAAAAAAAAAAGAGAACAAGCTAGTAATGGGGGAACAACTGAATGATCAAGAGCAATGTGTTAGATAATCTACTGCTTCCTTGTGTGAACACACAGCAAGGGAAGGCAGTGCCAAAAAGACCCCTTGCTGTGGTATTGTAGCCGCTGTAGAGGCAGGCGCCGAATGATGCACCTACCGGACTATAGCCACATGCAGGGACAGGCGCAGAAGTCAGTCCTGCTGTGTTATCTAGTCACTGTTGCAGCATGAGAGCTGTACTAGGACTAGATGGATAGAGTTGTATATATAGTTTGCCACTGCAACTCAACAAAGAGAGTTCAGTTTTGCCATCTCCTATACAGGGCTCCGGCCAACGTTGGTGCTTGTACTGTGTGTGTATGCTCTGTTCTCCCTCTTCTTCTATCTCGAGCCATAGTGTGTCTGGTCGGACAGCCTCGGCTGTGCTCGGCCGTGGTTGGCAAGACTGGTGAGTGGTCGACTCACCTGAGCCAGTGATCCTGTGGGCTAACAAGTGGTATCGGAGCCGTACAAGCGTCATCGCCGGACTAACCGCTGGCGATGACGAACGGTTCAGAAATGGGCGACAACAGTGGCACTGCTGTGGCTGCCCAACCACGACCGAAGGTCATTGTTCGCATGGTGCGGGAGGTCAGCGGCACTAGTTGACCGATGCTGACTCGCACCAACTATGGAAAATAGTCGATGACCATGAAGGTCAAGCTCAGAGCCCGACGGCTCTAGAATGCTGTTGACAAGGGCACCGACAATGAGGAAGATAACATGTTAGCATTGGAGGCTATCCTCGTTGCTGTACCGGCGGAGTACAGGGAGCCATTGGGGGCGAAGAGCTCGGTTAAGGAGGCATGGGAGGCTATTGCGGCGATGCGCGTCGATTTCGACCGCGCAAAGAAGGCAACGGCCCAACTTTTGAAGTAGGAGTACGCCAACCTCAAGTTCAAGGATGGTGAAATGGTGGAGGACTTCTCCCTTTGCCTATAGATGCTCATCAGCAAGCTGAAGAGCCACAGCGTCACCATCGATGAAGAGGAGGCGGTCTCCAAGTACCTCCACTCCGTGCCAACAAAGTATATCTAGATCGCTCTCTCCATAGAGACGATGCTGGACTTGTCCACCCTCACCATTGAGGATGTGACAGGCCGTCTATGGGCAATGGACGAGCGCCTAGAGCAGCGACACAATGAAGGACAGTGGCAAATTGCTGCTCACAGAAGATCAGTGGGCTGCTCAGAGGAACTCCGGGAAGGTAGCGTCCTCCACCGCGGTGGCGATGGCAAGCGCCGTGGCAAGGCTTCTTCGGAGAAGAAGAAGCAGGTCGACCCCAACGCCTATCGGCGCTGTGGGAAGACGGACCATTGGGCACGGGAGTGCCCAAATCACAAGTAGGAGAAGAAGGCTGAGGCTCATCTAGCGTAAGCTGATGATGATGATGAGGCCACTATCCCGATGGCGACGTTCTGTACACTACATGACATTGAGGCCGAGGAGAAGGAAGAGGCGATGATGGTGGAAGGACCTAGGAAGGCCCTAAAGGCTGTCAACCTCGACGAACCACGCGCCTAAGTCCACCTCGGATGTGTGGGCGCTGACCAGGAGCAGCGGTGGTATCTGGACTCTGGTGCCAGCAACCACATGACGGGCTCTAAGGCATCTTTCTCCGAGCTCGACGATGATGTTACCGGTATGGTGAAGTTTGGTTATGGCTCAAGGGTGGCTATCCAAGGATGCAGCACCATCATCTTCAGGTGACAGAATGGGGAGCACCGCGTGCTAACGGATGTATATTACGTCCCGCAGCTGCGCTCCAACATCATCAGCATTGGTCAGCTAGATGAGCGCGGTAGAGAGGTACTGATCAAGGATGGAGTCCTTTGGATCAGGGACTGGGAGCAGCGACTTCTTGCCAAGGTGAAGAGGTCCCTAAACCAGTTGTACCTGCTCGACCTAAAGGTAGAGCAGCTGGTGTGTCTGGCGGTAAGGCACACCGAGGAACCATGGATGTGGCATGCCCGGTTCGGACATCTCAGCTTTGACGCGCTTGGTCCGAGGGCTACCCCACATCAAGCACGAAGGCG